CTGTAAAAGCTTGGGGTTTGGTATATTCCAGTACTGCACAGATATGTGAAGGCTCGAACACAACTTCATTATTAGTCTTTTATAAAGTAACACAGTTATACATCAACAAATTGTAATTTGAGTGACTCATTCATATACCAACTTGGTAGCACATTCATCTTTGATTGACCCTTGAAAGCAATGCTTATGTGCTGCATCCAGACTTAAGATTACTTATATCTACTTTCAGTTGAAACACTAAGAGGGTGAACATGTGATAATTAAGCCTATTTAGTTTGCTGCCTTTTTGTGTGCTCACCAGTCCACATTACTAACTCCTAAATATGTCGCTCTTTACTTGATATAATATGATATTGTTTTATTTTGTTGGTTTTGAACTATATTTCATAGGAACTTAGAGAGCGAATCAAACCATACTTTTTGCGACGCATGAAAAGTGAAGTTGTCTTTGATACTGGTGCATCAGAAGAAAAAACATTGGCCAAGAAGAATGAGCTAATTGTCTGGCTGAAGTTAACACCATGCCAGGTTTGAATTTGGTGTCATTGTTATGAGAAGTTGCTTGAGCTATTGATTAATGATTATATTTTCTGGTGACCTTTCTTTGGATGCAGAGGAAACTATATAAAGCTTTTCTGAACAGTGAGTTGGTTCATTTAGCGTTGCAGCCAAAGGCGTCACCGTTGGCTGCAATCACAGTAAGAATAAGGCTTTTCTTCATAATGATGCTATTGACCCTTTGCCTTTGGGGCTAGGGTGTTGTTTGTAGCCTTATAGAAAAGCTTGCTGTTGCATGTTTATTGATGAGATTATGTTTGCTACACTGCTTTACTTTATCCTCTCCAACAGATATTGAAGAAAATCTGTGATCATCCACTGCTATTGACTAAGAAAGGTGCTGAGGGTGTCTTGGAAGGAATGGATGAAATGTTGAATGATCAAGACATTGGAATGGTAGAAAAAATGGCCATGAACCTTGCAGATATGGCTCATGATGATGATGCACTGCAAGTTGGTCAGGATGTCTCATGCAAGCTATCATTCATCATGTCCTTGTTGGTAAGTATTATTAGATGCATGCCCATTTTGGTTGTTACCTATGCATTTGTACTTGCTCAAAATAATTAACACCTGATGTTGCAGCGGAACCTTGTTGGAGAGGGGCATCATGTTTTAATATTTTCACAGACTCGTAAAATGCTAAACCTTATTCAGGTATATTGTTGCTACTTTAATTCTTTTCTGCTTCGTACTACCTTAGCACATCCTGCACCTCGTGACTTTTAGACTCATTTCTTCTAATTTGATATATTGATACAATACAGTTTAGATCCATTAATTTATTTGGGCCATTTGTTACTCTTGAATCTCAATGTGCATGGGTAAGCTCCATAACTAGAGAACATTTATGGCCAGTCATCTTTAGTAAAATTTTGGTGAAAACTAAAATACATGGACTCATTACTGTCACATTTATGCAAGATTGCAAGCTGAAGTGTAACATCACATCCTGTTCTTTTAGTAAAAGTTTGGTTGCCTTTTAATCTTTCATAGTGTCATTGGTAATCACTACCGCATCAATCTGGAGTTCATTTCCCTAGCCAGTGATGTTACACTACCACATCAATCTAGACTCTAGATTTCATTGCACATCAATCTTTCATGTGAGCATTAGTTTGCCAGTAGCCTTTTTGACCTGCAATCTACTGCTGGCATAAAGCGTCAGTGATGCTTTTTGGCCTCTTGGTACCAGAATGTTCTTCATTGACAATTTCTTTGGCCTATTAGCTCAACAATTTCAGTCATTGGCTTATTGTAACAGGAAGCCATAATATTAGAGGGCTATGAGTTTTTGCGCATTGATGGCACCACCAAGGTTTCTGAGCGGGAAAGGATTGTGAAGGTTCTTTTCGCCTTCCCTTTTTTCAACCTACGTCATAGAGCTGTCCATATCTTTTTTGTTGCTTACACAAACTTGCATCCTTCAGGACTTCCAAGAGGGTCGTGGAGCTCCAATTTTTCTGCTAACCACACAAGTTGGTGGACTTGGACTTACACTCACCAAGGCAGCTCGCGTCATAGTAGTTGATCCTGCATGGAACCCTAGGTATCTCAACAATGATACCTAACTGTATGTCTGTATCGATTGAAGTTTTCTTGAATGAATGTTTAACACTACAAGTTTTCTATCTTACACACTTGTTTTTTCTATTTACAGTACAGACAATCAAAGTGTTGATCGTGCTTACCGAATTGGACAGACAAAAAATGTGATTGTATACCGCTTGATGACATCTGCGACCATTGAAGAAAAGATATACAAATTACAGGTTCAAATATCACTTCTTACCTTCTGGTTGATGCAATTACTAGCAGTATGACCTTTCTATACATGGTTTTATATGGTGAAATTTTAGTTACATCCTTCTGTTTCTCTCTATAACAGCATAGACCATACTACTAAAATTTGATTTCTAGGTGTAAAATCAGCTAATATTTTTTGTTTATGTAAATGGGAATGTAATGTGTTACTTGGATATCCTTCTTACCATGCTATGCACACAACTCTATTTCTTTCATGGATTTCTCTAGCCTTGTGGTTTGTGCTTCCATCTTAGCAAATCACTATTAAAAAAAAAATGTGTGAAAAGAAAGCTAGACTGAATAGTGAGATATTATCTTTTTTCTCAGGTTTTGAAGGGGGCTCTGTTCAGGACAGCTACGGAACAAAAAGAGCAAACACGTTACTTCAGCAAGAGTGTACTTGTTCTGATTCCATTTCCTGTCATTGTTTGCTCAATTTCCTATTAGATACTTATGGGTATCCTGATTGTGCCCTCAGGATATTCAAGATCTATTTAGTTTGCCACAACAAGGATTTGATGTTTCCCTCACGCAGAAGCAGTTGCAAGAAGAGCATGGTCAACAAGTTGTCATGTAAGAGATCTGTTTTCATTAAACTTCTTTTAGTTGCAGCACAATTAACTTGATCTTGATGGTACAGTATTATGTGTCATGTTGTAGATAATTGGTGGTTACAATAATAATAATTTTATTTACATTATTACATAAATTTGTAATGTTACTGCAGTGACAAATAGGCAGAACCGGCACACCACAAACTGTTGATACTCTGGAATTTTGTAGGGTTTTTTTTTTGACATTCTTTATTTGCAGAAGACAATAGAGTACCCTAGAAACATGCAGCTCTTGTTTCCAGACGAATTTCCTGCTTGATCACTGTGCACTATTTCACTGAAACCTGCTGGGTTTGTTACACATCTTACAGGGATGAGTCTTTGAGGAAGCATATACAGTTTCTGGAGCAACAAGGAATAGCCGGTGTGAGCCATCACAGCCTCCTATTCTCTAAAACTGCAACCCTGCCCACGTTGAGTGAGAATGATGCACTGGACAAGTTAGTGTTACTGCTTTTTTAATACTATTGCTATTCATAGATTTATTGTTACTTTAGTATACCACAGTTTTGAGCTTGTCTCCAATTTCCCTACCTTGCATTGATGTTTGTCATACTGCCATATTTATGATTGTATACAAACTTGAATGCCTCAATTACACTGCTTTTACATGCAGCAAACCTCGTGGCATGCCCATGATGCCCCAGCACTATTACAAGGGATCCTCATCTGACTATGTCGCCAGCGGGTAAGGATGGCCATGTTCCCCCTGCATGATTGTACTGTGCTGCATAGGTAGGTCTATTGAAACTTTGTGTTTCTATTTTGTGCAGGGCAGCTTTTGCGTTGAAGCCAAAAGATGAAAGTTTCACCGTTCGAAAGTACTCTCCAAGCAACAGAAGCGCAGAGAGTCCTGAAGAGTTAAAGGCAAGAATCAACCGGCTTTCACTGACCCTCTCCAACGCTGTAACTCATCCTCTCACATGTCTTTTATTCAGCTTGACCAGCCATATATATATATATATATATATATATATATATATATATATATATATATATATATAGATGAGTGTAAATCAATTGTTGAATTGAATCTAGGCGCTGGTGTCGAAGCTACCAGATGGTGGTGAGAAGATAAGGAGGCAGATAAGCGAGCTGGATGAGAAGCTGGCTTCTGCTGAGAAGGGGCAGGAGGAGGCCACTGAAGTGATTTCCTTGGATGATCTGATTACAGATATGAAGAACATAACAGTGCCCATTTAGGCTGTGTGTCCATTTAGGCGTGCTGGCTGGGGCTAGGTGGTGCAAAAGTGTTTTGAAGTTGTTGGTAGACACTAGTAATAGCTTTAGTCACTGGGTTGTGACTAGCAACGCCACCATGTCTGCATCACGTTGCTAGACAGGCTATTGTGTTATTTTGGTATGACTCAAAATGCTGTCTGGCTTTATTTGTAGCAATTGAACATAAACCAAACCAGGAAGAAATGGCACCAATCAAGTCTGCTCTTTGCTGCATCTCTGGGTGGGGTTTATCATTTATGCAAATGCAGGATTATGTTTCTAATCGGAATGCACTGCCGAACCTTTAATCAGTAGTGCATTCCTAGTATGTATATATATGCATACAAGCATAAAGAAACTCAGTAGAATCTTAGCCATCTAGGTAGCTGTACATGTGTTGTATGGGTTAGTTGCTTGCACGTTGATGTAACACGGCAACGTCAGCATGTTCGATTGGCTGGTTTGTATCGTTGCTGGTTCGTAAAGAAGTACTGCTGACTGGTTTGTGTGATAGAAAAATGCTGTTCCGGCTGAAAATTTATGATCGTTTACGACAAGCCACAGCCAAACGAACAGGGTGACATGTGTCTTTCTGAGCATCGACGGTTAGAGGCAATAGCACACGATGCCTTTTCTGATCATTATATATAATCAATCTCCAAACAAGGCAACCATCATCGATTACAGGCAGACTCTAATCATAACAGTTCAATGAAAGAGGGAGTACTAGATAGAAGTAGAAGAAAAGCAAAGAAAAACACATGGACCATGGATGGATGGAAATGAGGAGCAGTCATCAGATCAGAGGAAGATGAAGCAATCCATGGAGATGATGGGATTGGTGAGGTCGTCGGCCGGCGTCACCTGCGCAAGCGCAGCAGCAGTAGTGGAATCTGCATGAGCTGAGGATGAGATCTTGGCCTCCAATCTCCTCCTCAGGCTCTGGCTCTGGCTCACCTCTGTCTTCTTCTTCTTGTCCTTGTTCCTGGCCTGCGCGAGCGCGACGACCTCCCGCTGTGTTGCCGTCGTGCTCCGCCTGCCGGTGTTCTGCCTCCTCTTCTTGTGCTGCTGCTGCTGCTCGTAGGAGCCCGGTGGCGGTGGCGGTGGCGGTGCCGGGCGGGCGGACAAGGGGGACACCGACCGCGCGCGCTTGGGCGTGGGCGCTGCAAGCCTGTGTCTGTCGTCACTGCCACGGCCACTGATGGGCTTGCAACGGTCGGAGTCGGACGACTTGGACTTGGGGTCCAGCACCACAACGTCCCACTCCCGAGACGAGATGCTGTTGCTGGTGCTGGTGCTGGCGTTGGGGAGGAGGACCAGCTCACGCGGCCTCCGCCGCCACAAGTAGGAGGAGGATGAAGCCGCAGACGATGACGACGAGGAGCCGGAGGAGGCGCACAAGGAAGTGGACGCCACCAGTGACAGCGACAGCGACAGCGAGGAGGAGGTGGTGGTGGGAGAAGCGGAAGCCGCTCCTGCTTCCCCTGGCAATGGGTGCGGGTGCACGGCAGGAGAAGCCTGCGAGATGCCGGCGGTGGAACTGGAAGTGTTGCAAGGAATAGGATGACAAGGGAAACAGGGGTAGCATTTGCTCACGCAGGTGCCCATGCTGCTGGACTGACCTCACTGGTGGTGGCACGGCAGTCGGCAGTGGGCAGCAACTGATGAGATGCAATGCAAGAACGAGCGGAGCAGGCCTTCTCTTCTTTCCTCCTTTCCTTGCTCTGCTTTCTTTTCTTGTTGTGGAGAGAGAGAGTTGAGTTGAGAGAGAGAGAGAGAGAGAGAGAAGGCGTTATTGTATATATGTAGATAATATAGATATTATTACAGATAGATAGATAGGTACAGGGAGCAAGCAATCGTGCTTAGCTTACACTACCCGTTGTCAATCTCTGCAGGCTGTCGTACAAAAAGTCAATCAGCAAATTTTGTTTCAGTGCAGTTAGCGATGATGTAGTGTAGGTAAAAAGTGTCGATGATGGCATGGCCTACCTGCAACTGCTACCTACTCTAAAATTGGAGCGCACAAGGTTTGAAATCGCAACGGCAGTCGTGCCGTATGGATGGCCCTGCGCTGAGCTGCCCTGCCCTGCCCTGCCCATCCATCTTCTGACTGAATGTTCTATAGTACTATCAACTGTGAATCGTCCGCAATGCAATGCCCATCAATCCTCAATCGCTCGCTTTCTCGGGGCAACAGCAACGCCAGCTCTTGCAGTAATACAGGAGCAATGCCAGCAAGTGTTTGTATACAGATTACTTTTTCACAAGTGCTGTTTTTACAGAGTTGAGTTGAGCATGCTGGCAGCATTGCAGTCTAGTGTAGTAACAATGCCTCTTGTCGTGCATGAATTTTTGCAGCAGTACAGCGAACACAAGCCACAAACTTTGTAGCACCTTCAAGCTGCAATCAGCCCTAAACTAAAAATGCATCTTTGATTCCGATAATCATCATCATCACAGATTCACAGCTATAGGTCATGCATACAAGTCTGAGCCACTTGTCAAACTTGATGGTTACACTCACTGTCACTGGACAAGTCACCATTCCTGTGCAGTGCAGTCCTAAAAAGGGGAAATCGCTGTGTTTCTCCTAGTGGAACTTCTGAAACCAGCCAGGTCGCCTGTTTCTGAATCTGAATGTCTGAAACCCCCACATTGCAGCTGGATTCAGCCTGTTCGGGAGGCCGTATCGTATCGTGGATTATTTACTGCTGGCTGGTTTGGTGTGAGAGAAAAACACTGTTCCCGGCTAGAAATTTACGATCGTTTACGAGCAAGCGAACAGGGGCAAGCAACAGACGATTGTATTGCTCAAAGATGCCGCAGAAATCGGTGCAAGCAACAAAACTACAAAGTAAAGCTAGCATCAGAAATCGGCAACCTAAACATTTTCTGCAAGCAACAGACGATGATACATTTTCCAAAAAAAGAAAAAAAGAAAAAAAAGAAGATGATACAGGCAAGTAAAATCTTCACTTCGCTTAGGAGGTGAAGCAGGAGTGAAACTGCTAGCAAGTAGCAAATGCCAATTCATGTATTCACTTTGATATGGTATATAACTATATACATCGTAGGAGTAGCCAGGAAGAATGCATGCCAGTTAATTTATCCGCTGACGCTGATGAATTTACATATAATATAGCATAGTAAGTGCACATCAGCAGAGCAAAGAATTAACAATCTTTCCAAATTCTTTGACAATGGTTTGGTTGTCTGTAGGAGTATATATGAATCAGATCACGAATGTTTTGCTTGAGCACTCTATAGTCCGTGTATAGGCAGGCAGCAGGCAGCTGAATCAAAATCAGAGGAGAAGGGCGAGCAGGGCGTTGAAGATTGTCTCCGGGGTCGCCCACTTCCTTCGCCGCTTGCTCTTGGTGATGATTAAGCTCTGCAGTTGGTCCAGCCGGCGGCCATCCAGATCAAGATCCAGCAGGTGGTTCCTCCTGGTGGCCTCCCTGAGCGGGCCCCAGCACTCTATCCGGTTGTACTTGCAAGCGCTGGAGTGGAAATGCACCCACACCTTGGCCTCCATCAGCTCCGGCCGCTCCGCGAACAGAGCCGCGTCGCCGTGAATCACCGCCTTGAGGACCTTCACATCCATCCATCATCAGCTTATTAATTAGCAGATGACGTTATTATTCCGGTTGGTTGGAATTGGAATGCAAGCAACGTACTACGTACCAGCGGCAGCTCTTTGGAGAAGACCTAGTATCTGAAACCTGCGGCCAGCTCCTGCAGGAGGTTGGCGCCGCTGACGAAGCAATGCACCTGCAGGCTGCAGCGTCATCTCCCTCTCCCCGGCGGTGGAGGCGGCGGTGGTCACCTCCTTCCACTCTGCCACCACGTCGTCCCTCTGCAGCGTCTGACTGCCAGCTGCGCAGCTGCTCGCTGGTCATGGGCCCGCTCACGGTTCGCCGTGAAGTCGCAGTGGGTCAGAGTGTAGGCTCTGGGGAATGGAGGAGGCTGCATGTTGCTCCGCAGCTCCTCGCCGGCGAACTCCACCTTGAGCTTCGCCGCATTGAAGGTCGTGGGAGGTCCCAAAATCTTTGCGGCCTGCAGGTATCGAATCGACATGGTATCCATTTTAACCAATCAGATTATTGCATGACACTTGACACGGGGATTTCCCTTCATTTTTAAATAAATCTATTCTAATTTTCCTGCTAGTAGAAAAACCATACCGCTGTCCTGGCGTCACAGCTGACGACCAAGGAACGCGGCGGTTCCGCCCTGCAGCCACCCATCCTCCTGCCCGGCCTGCTGCTCGCAACGACACGCGCCGCCATGGATGCTGCTGCCGCCATCTTCAATTCAGATGATGGCCGGAATCTGGCATGCATACCTTGGGGCCGGGGGCCGGCCGTGAGCGAGCTAATTCAGACGACGCAGGAGCAGCAAGGCTCCCTTCCCTCTCCTGGCAATGCAGTTGCGGTGTCTCTCCTCTCCTCTCCTCTCCTCTCCTCTCCTCCAAGCAAACTAGCAAAGCGGTCTGTCTGCTGATGCTGGTGGTGTTGCTGCGGCAACGTCCAGGGGGCAGGGGGCAGGGGGTCCGGTGCGAAGGACGGGAGGAGGAGAGCTGGGGAGGGACGTTTCCGCTGGCGCCGGTTTGTAGCTGTGGAAGGTTGACGACCGGGAGGCCTCCAGCCACCGGAGCACGGCCGACAGCTGGCATGTCTCTATTGGCTGTCCTGTCCGAATAAGGATAACAGGTTAACAGCACTGACGACGACATCAATAGCAGCAATCCATCACCTTTAAAGCTACGGAACCTGTATCATTCATGGAAATCAGGTATTTGCTAAATCAGTAGCTTTCTTTCGGGCTACGATTATTACATATATATTTTATGTTAAAATTACAGATTTAGTTTATTATAATTCATGTAGACATAGTCTGTAAATTTCGGATCCGAGAATAAACCCCATTAGACAAAAATCGTCAACGTTGACACAAAAACAATCAACCATTTACAATTGTTTCTATAGTTAGAAAAGACAAAAAATTGATATATTATGACACATAAATAATTTATAATTATTTATATAGTCAGATAAAGTAAAAAATTTGTTATATATGATAAAAGATAATTAACAAATCATAATAGGACAAATCACAAAAGAGTGCAAAGGTTGTATCACATTATTGCGCATCCAATGGGTGCGCGGGTTGTCCGAACCATCAGCACTAGCCAGCTGGAGACGGTAATATCACGAGCGATGCAACCTGCACAGCACTACAAAGTTTGGGACTGTAACATCACACGTGAAACTGTCGCCTGAAATCCGAGTCGTTTTCAGGCAGCTGGAGACGGTAATATCACGAGCGATGCAACCTGCACAGCACTACAAAGTTTGGGACTGTAACATCACACGTGAAACTGTCGCCTGAAATCCGAGTCGTTTTCAGGCATCTCAAGTGCAGTAGATTCGACTAGTATGGTCTATGGTACGTGGACTTGATCTTGATGTCTTATGATTAACTTATGTTTGTGAATTATGATGATTTGTTAGAGGGCGCAGCAGATTCAACCTACCTTTCTACACCACATCAGACTTAGCGCCCCCCAGCCCACAACCAACCCATGTCTCAAGTCTAATCCAATCTAAAAGATTAGCCTAATGGGTGTGGACTGCTCCACCAAACCCCACAGCAGACTTACGTCCACCGGAGTCCACAACAAATCAAGGTCTTGGACCTAATAACTTAAGCCAAAAGAGCGCAACAAGGATGTCGTGTGTGATGATGGAAGTTGCAGTAGGTTAACGAGGAAAGGTAGCGTTCAATTCAATAGACCTCAGGCCAATGTTGTAGTGCTCATTGGTGGCGAGAGGAGGTTGTCGATGGTGACAGGGTCGACGTGTAGAGTATCTCATTAGACTGACTCCAACAAAGCTACCCAAACTTAAAAATAGGTCGCACACAGTGATTTACATATCAGATACCGGCTCCAACGGCTGACCCAACCGCAACACCTATTTTGGGTACCAGGCCGAAGGAAACGCAGAAAAGCGTCGCCTCTCTCCTCGCTACGCAAATCTCCGACGGTGGAGCTCGCCCGTGGAAGCAAGGAATGGCCGAGCTTGCCTTCCCTCTCAGCACACACGGCCGCCGCCTGGGAGCACCACCTCGGCCCACCGCTCGCTGCGCAGCACAAGCTGAGCCGGCGTAGCCTTGGGCCGCTGCCGCCGTCGGGGAACTCGAGCTCAAGCTCGCGCGCGCACTCGCCGAGCCGAGCCGAGCCGAGCGCCGCCGACGCCGTCCGCCGTCGTGCTCTGCTCGGAGATGCACTGCTCCAGCCACAGGCGCCCGCACCGGAGCTCCGTCTTTACCATGGTGAGTAGTGGCGTATGCCGGTTCCCTCCTTCCCGTTACCCTCCCCTCCAATCCAATCCGATTCTTCCTCAGCTCGATTCCTACCCCAGTTCCCCTCTCCGGTACCCCATCTTTTCCTCAATCAGCATCCTCCACATCCATCACCAAGTTCCAATCCGAACTTCTTCTCATCGATCTGCTCTTTTCCTCGCTCGATAGAGTTACAATCGACAGCTGCTCCCGCTTTTGGTTCCTCTCAATTCGATTCCTGCTTGATAAATTGCCCATCCACCCCACGCGTTCTCCTATGCTTTTACCCCCCTCTGAATCCTCAGCTATTCAGAGTTTCACCGCCCTTCCCCCATCGATGTATTATTATGACAAGGATCCCCATCATTTTCTCTTCTTCCGTTCATAGCAAACCTCCTGTTTCCGCTTGCCTCTATGGAAACAGACCACACTCTAGATGGGGACCCGCCACCAATTTTGCCCAATCCGACAGATCCGCACTCCACATCCCAGAAAAATCACTTGGCCACCTCTACGGAAGTGGAACTTGCGAGGTCCAAGCAAGCTGTGCAACTCACCCCATGTCATGGTAAAGAGCAGCAGCTCACCCCATGTCGGCGTTGGTGGCGAAGGAGGTCTTGGCCGCCGCGCCGTCGCCGTCGTGCAAGGTGCGGAGCGTGGCGTTCGACCTTGCCGTCACCGGGGATGACGTGCGGCACGGGGTGGCAAGGGTGGCGGCCGCCGTGGAGGGCCACGACGTGGGCATCCTCGTCAACAACGCCGGCAGCTCGGCGGCGTCCTCGGCCGTGCGGTCGTCCTCCGCTTCGGATGGGCTCTGCTTTTTGCGTAGGTGTTGGAGAGGGCTGAGTTATTGGTTACGGGACCTTTTCCTGTGCATAACCCAAAATCGGAAATGGGTGTCGAATTTAGGTCTTCTTATTGGAGACAGTCTTAGCAGTCTATTTGTGATTGATGGATGGACCAAGGCCTCATTCGGCTGGTCATAAAACCAGCCGGAAAACACTGTTCCTGGATGAAAACCACTGTTCACTCTCTCACAGATTCCTCCAGATTTATCAAGATTCCTCCAAGCGAACATGGCCCAAGACTGAATAATTCGTGGGCACTATATTCCTTAGATTGGCGGGGTATTATCACTGATTCGTGAAAGATCTCTCCGATATATCTAATCCTATGACTGAGTTGACCATGCTAGGAAGGAAATTTGAGCGGTATGCGAATCGTGAGAGAACATTTGTAACTCTCAAGCAAATGCTCACTACCATAAAGAAGGAAGATGACCCACTCAAATTATAAGTAGTTTGGACTCCTCTAGTTATATAGATTTTACTACGCACCTAATATATGTACATCTTGAAAGTTAAAATGATCTATAATTACATTGTAAATACTATGTTTCTAGAAAGTTAAAATGATATATAATTTGAAAAAAGAGGTAATAATATTTTTTCCTGATTCCGGGAAACTTTTGAACCAAAGGGCAAGGGTAAATCACAGAGCGCTCTAAATCAAGCACAGCAGCCGAATCAATAAAAAAGTATTATTATTTGGTTGTTTTAGGGGAAAAGAAAAAATCTATGGGTGAAAGTTCCTAAATGACTAGGGGTGAATAGCCTAATAAAATTTTCTACAAAAACACTAGAGCAACTTGATTAATAAAACAATTGATGATAAAGCGTGTTGCTCTAGCTCTACTAAAAATACAAGCCACCTACTGAAAGGTCCTAATGGCTAGAGGGGGATGAATAGCCTATTGAAAATTTTTACAACAGCACTTAACAAATATATTAGACAATTAAACGGCGTAGCGAGGGTTGTGCTAGTCTACTAAAAAAGTAAGCCACCTACCTCAATTCTAGTGTTTATGATCTCTAAGCACACAATGGCTATGTCACTACATTAAGTTAGTGTGCTCTCAAAGACTAACTAAAGAGCCGCACTAACCACTAGACCCGACACAAGCTTGCTTTCAAAACTAATTACACTAAAGAGCGAAGCAACACTATAAATATAAATGCAAGGTAGGGGATGTGATGATTATACCGCCGTGTAGAGAATATGAGCCAATCACAATAATGGAGCCAATCAATCACAATGAATACCAAGAAATCCTCGGACAAGATGACACAATATTTTTTACCGAGGTTCACTTGCTTGCCGGCAGGTTAGTCCTCGTTGTGGCGATTCACTCACTTAGAGGTTCACGCGCTAATTGGCATCACACGCCAAACCCTCAATAGGGTGCCGCACAACCAACATAAGATGAGGATCACACAAGCCACGAGCAATCCACTAGAGTACCTTTTGGGTTTCCGCCGGGGAAAGGTCAAGAACCCCTCACAATCACCACAATCGGAGCCGGAGACAAGCACCTTTCTCCTCTCGACGATCCTCACTGCACCAAGCCGTCTAGGTGGCGCCAACCACCAAGAGTAACAAGTGAATCCTGCAGCGAAACATGAACACCAAGTGCCTCTAGATGCAATCACTCAAGCAATGCACTTAGATTCACTCTCAATCTCACAAAGATGATGAATCAATGATGGAGATGAGTGGGAGGATTTTGGCTAAGCTCATAAGGTTGCTATGTCAATGTAAATGGCCAAGAGAGTGAGCTTGTGCCGGCCAAACACCTTTTATAGAGGCTCCATCGAAGTAGAGCTGTTGGGCTCACACAACAGCCCAACTCGTGCTGACCGGACGCGCCGATCAGAATGATCGGACGCACCCGGTCTAGCGTTCGGTCGTGGGATCTTCGCCACGTGTCCTGCCTTCAAATACATGTCGCCCGATCTCCAACGGCTAACTCACTCCCGCGCTCGCGTTAATGAAGGATCGGACGCGCCGATCCAGTGACCGACGTGCCAGCCCCTACGTCAGATCAGTTCAACCCCACGCGTAG